GCCAAAATTAGAACTATAATAAGTCCTTGGGGGATCTTACTTCTTTCAGTAAACATTTATTTAGCATTGCCAAACTACTAATATAAATATTGTATTCATGGTTTTCATTTTTTTCAATGCAGTTAGCTCTACATTCTCTTAGAATAGTGGCTTTATTGTAACAAAAAGCCTGGCTTTTGGTCCCAGTTTTCTCAGTATCTCAACGTATGAAGTTAGGCAGGTCACTAATATTCTCAGATTCGGTGTCCTTATTTGATAGTAATACCTACTTCACAAGGCTGCTGTGATTTTTCAATAAAATGAATGAAAGTGTGCATCATACACTGTTAAAAGTACATATGCCTTGTGTAGAATCAATTGGCGATTTACTTACCTTTATTAACTATTTCTACCACAGGTGTCAGAATGGGAAGGAATGGCAAGAGTACAAGATAGTTTCAATTCCCAGTCCAACTTGCCTGCTCCATTTTACCTGTCACTTTACAGGTAAAACACACTGGGGCTTTGTGATTTGTCCAAGGTCACACAGCAAGTAGTTCACTATCAGAATTTCTTTTGCTTAATGTCACCCAGATCTCACTGGGCTGACAGAAAATAAAAACCAAAGCAATCATGAGTAGAGCATTCCCAACACTGTGCAGCTTAGTTACCATACTATACTTGCCATACCTTTCCATACTTCTGTGCATGGAATACAGTTCTCCCAGAAGGTGGTATGGGAACAGGGAAAGAAAGACAGTAGAAGGTTTGGGATGGAAGCCCCCAAGGGAGTGTTCTCAGGAGGGGGGTGGGGCACACAGACATCTGGAAGAGAGGCAAAAAGCATCCCAGCAGGCAACCGCCTGAGGCAGATCTAAGCAGACAGGTCACTGCACAGTGGTGCAGCGCAGAACTGCATTTGTAAGATAAGCATCGATCAAATCATCCCTCTCTTTTGTGACAGTCAAATAAAATGATAAAGCTGGGTAGCTCACTGCCTCCGTGATGAGCAATACAGATGAAGGCCCAGGAACCATTTGGGAAGTCATCTCTGGTCCCAGGCTGGTAAAGAAATGGCTCCTCAAAGGTTGCTGTGAAAAATAATTAACTCTTTCAGCTTCAAAGAAGGCAGAAATAGGCACCGAAGGAAAACTCAACTTCAGTCAGAAAAGAGGGGAGAGGGGGGAAAAACACTAAACCCCACCAAAAAGAGATCACCACTTACTGAATGTAGTGAAAGGATGATATATATATATATATATATATATATATATATATATATATGCTGGTATAGTCAAAAGACTAAACATAAGACTGAGTGTAAGAAACCTAAGTTGAGCCCTGGATCTCTCAGTAGTTGTGTAATCTTAGACAAATCATATTCTAGCCTCAGTTTCCTAATTTATAAAATAAATGAATAAACTGGGCAAGGTGGTATACCTGTAACCTCAGCACTCAGGGGGCTGAGGCAAAGGATCATCACATGTCTGAGGCCAGCCTGGGCCACACAGAGAGTTCAAGACCAGCCTGACTACATGGTGCAACCCTGTCTCAAAAAAGGATTTTTAATTTAAAAAATAAATCAATAAAATAATTTGATAGATTTTTTTTTAAGGCACCTGGTGCAGCAGAGAAACAGGCAGAAGGAAAAAGGAAAAGGGGCTTTATTTTCTTCAAGGACACAGAGAGAATGTGGGGAAGAATGAGGAATTCTCTCCATTGGAACAAAGGGAGGCTGAGGCTCTTATGGCCTTTTGTCGGGTGGTGGTGTTTGAAGGAGATGTTTAGATATACCTGAGGGAGCTGATTGGGGGTCCTCCCTGAGGCAGCGGGAAGGGTGAAAGGAAATTTTATTCTGGGCCGAGTTGGAGAAGTGGGGAGGTGGTCCTGGGAAGATGGGCTTTTGTTTTAAGGGCTTCAGCTATACTGATGACCACCATGATGATTTAGCAATTCATACTAGGGCCAGAACCTATCAGTTTCTTAATAACATCAGCATATGACAGAAAGTTTTACAAACTTCTTAGAAAAAGAAATATATTCCCTGTGCTTCATGTTTTCTTCTAGCAGGTCATTCCAAGTAATGGAAGCAGTTGTAGGGTTCCAAATCTAACTGAATGAAGATTCTGTTTCCAGCTTTATCATTTATTAGCTGTTAAGCCTGGACAAAAATTTGTACATGATTAAGATGCAGTTTGTGGGCTGGGAAGATAGCTTGGTGGTCTAAGTGCCTGCCTAGCAAGTGCAAGGACCTTGGTTCAATCCCTGGTACCACATGTCTTGCCTAGCCCAGAACCCTGGGCATGCTGTGCCAGCCCTGAAATCGGGTGTGGTGTTGCATGCCTGTAATCCCAGTGTTGGAGACACTGAGACAGGAGAATCACTATGAGTCCAATCTGTGTGGCAAGACCCTTTACCAAATAAAGAAAAGATTGAAAAATAATAATAAGATGTACTTTTTGTCAGCTTAGACACAAAGGAGTGACTGAGACCAATATTACAGGCAGGATTGAAGCAAACAGTGATATCTTTATCTAAGACTTGGTGCAGCCTGCTCAAGGGTGAGGTGTTGACCACAAACAATACTGAAGAAGACGGAAATATTTAAGTTTCTCAGGGAGCTGGTACCTCTAGTGGGAAACACCTGGGGGGAGTGCAGGATGATAGTGGCATTCTGCTGATTTACAGTGTGACATTCTGTAGATTTACAGGGTTTCCCATAAGCCTGAGAACCAGACTGGGAGCTAGCCTGATAAAACAGATTTATTTTAGTCTCTCTGGCTGAGGTGGGGAGGGGGTGCTGTTCCTGCTGAACAGAGTGGTGGTCTGTAGGAGTTTTTCTCTTCAGGGTATGAGTTACCTCTTCTGAAAGCAAAACATTTGGGGGATAATAATAAGTAATGTGAGTGAGTAATGCATTTAGCATAGTATAAGGAGCATAGAAAGTGTTCAGTAAGTATAATTCCAGGTCTTCCTTCAGGGCATATTTCTCAATGAGGATGAATGAGGAGTTGGGCAAATGTGGACCTCATTCTGCTATATCCCTTTCTTCCCAAAAATCATATTTTACTAACTTTATAAATTCAGTCTTTCTTCTGGCCACTCCTATAACCCTAGTCCTGAGGAGGCTGAGGTAAGAGGATTGCCAAGAGTTTGAGGCCAGCCTGGGCTACAGTGAGTTCAAGGCCAGCCTGACCTGCGTACCCTATCTCAAAAACAGTAAACAAATAAACAAAAACTAAATAGATAAAAAATAAATAAGGTTAATCTTTCTTTATAGACCATTCCGCATTTCTAAACCATCACCACCAGCCCAGACTAGTCCACATCCTCATTGTTTTCCCAGGTCTCTTGAGTCACAGAAATAGTATCATAACAGCTACCATTTAAGGAATACCTACTAAAGGTCAAGCACTCTACTAGTTGCTTGGAGGCATTCTACCTTGCACACAACACCTAAATGCCTGACAAATGTTTTTTCTTCTCCAGATTGGAAAGAGATAGTGATGGGTGTGACTGTTGACAGAATGGAGGCACACCTGCCTAAGAGTGCCAGTGGCCCCTTTTGTATTGTGCTTCTTTTCACCCACATAATCATATTTTATTCTCACAGTTTTGGGGTAGATGAAGAAACTGAGGCAGGAGGACAACCAGTGTTCAATTATTCATTCAGTTAACATGTGGTACACCTACTTCATTATATGCCAGGTTCTGGGTGGTACTCTGGAAAGAACGAGAGAAAGCCTAATAAGCTTAAATTTTCTGTTACATCTCCCTGCATGTTTCAGACACTAAGAAACTGGAGATTTATTTCTAGAATTAGAGATCATTTTAGACTTTGTTTATGCCTACATTGTATCCCCAACAGGAATGCACTTTCCTCCACTGTTAGCTAAATCCTTCATGAACAAGAGGCTTCCCTAACCCATCTGTGGTTCCTAAAGGCCTCTCCGTGGGCCCTTTCTATACTAGGGTTTTTCATTACCCTAATCAGGTCCTTTCTTGACTTTTATTGTCTTTCTCAGTTATAGGTACAAGTGTGCATCCACCTATGTGTACACACACACACACACACACACACACACACACACACTCCTTTTGCAGTCCACCCCATCTGTATTTTGGGAAGCTGGGATAGAGAAACCCACCCACCTCCACAATTCTGTTAGCTTTCAGAGACCACACTGCCTCCCCCAAATTCCCTCCCATGCCTGAACTCCAGAACAGAACCTGCCTGTGGGTGAATTTTGTTGTCCACTATTCTCTTCTCGTCAGTGCAATAGAGGTCCAGCCCTTGCTCCCCGCACCCCAGTCTTCTGAGAAACCAAGAAATAGGATCCCATTATCTTTCCAAAACCTACACCTGACCTCCCCACCAGCCTGCACCCTCACACCCACCACAAACTCTCCAAGGGCACCCCAGGGCCAGACTCTGCTTCAGCACCTCCTCCCCACTCCTGACCAGAAGCCAGGCGCCCATGCCCAGATCCAGGGCCCCTGTTCTTTCCCTCCACCAGCTCCTGCAACCCCCTCTGCGTTGGGGTTGACCGAGGGACCCCTCACTTTCCCATTCCTCCAAGCTAGCTGCTTCTAAGCCCCACCCCTCGCTCTCCAGCTTCGAGGCGACCACACGCCCCCCTCCACCCCACGCCCCCTCCCGGGCGCCAGCTCCTCTCAGCTCGAAGGACGCCTTAGTCTCCACCCCAAGCCGCGCTCCAGCCCGGGCTCTCCGCCCTCGAGCCTCCCCTGTGCAGCCCCCGGCACGGACCCGGCCGCCCAGCCCCTCATCGCAGCTTCCCCGACATCCCCTCACTGCTCTCCAGTCCCCGCCCATCTTTTCCACCAGTCGGGCACTCGCTTTCTTGCACCCGCTCCGGATGCCCCGCGGCCTGGAAGACCCCGCTCAGGCCGGTGCCCCCTCTGTGCAGCGGCGGGCCCCCTCACGCCCTCAGCCATGTCCCCAGCGCTCCTCAGGGCCCGCTCACGGTCCTCCGCGCACGGAGCCGGGCTGCGCCCCTCACCTCAGACTCCTGGCGGGACGTCGCACCTGGTGGCTGGGCTCGAAAACCGGGTGGCGAGGCAGGGCGGGTCCGGTCCGCACCTCAGCTGCGGAGGGCTGAGGCTCCGCTCCAGCTGGGTTCGGCTCCCGCGCGGACAGGCCCCGCCCATGGGCGGAGTCCGAGTTTGGCCCGCCCCCTCCGCCTCGCTCCTGTCAAACACAGAGAATTCAAGGTTTGGAATAGCCCCCATAACTAGGAGACTATCATGACTTTTTTCTTTCTTTCTTTTCTTATTTTCAATGTTTTTGGGGTTTGTTTTGGCTTTTATTTTTTTAAGACAGGACTTTGCTATGTAGTTCGGGCTGGTCCCAAACTCACAGCGATCCTTCTGCCTCAGCTTCCAGAATACTTCAATCACAGGGGTGCACCATCACGCCTGGCCTGTGACTTAACCTTAATTCTTGTTTCAGTTTCTTTCGTTGTATTTGAAATATTGAGGACTGAATCCTGGGATTTGAGCATGTTAAGCAAATACTCTACCACTGAGGTACACCCCTACCACGATTACCTTATTTCCTGTTCCATAGAATACTTACAAGGTGACCAGAGAGCTTTGACGATAACGTAGATGTTAGGTACTGAGCTTTGCGGTTTCCAGATCGCCTTTCCATTGGTTACATGCACTTCTACATCCTCAAAGCCCAGGAAGAGAACAGAAAATGGAAACTAAGCCAGGGACTGAGGCTCTGTCTTCTCCCCTGTGCATTCTTGTAGGCCCCATATTCTGTCCAGTAATAATAACACAGACTCAGCTTGTACCTTCCCTTTTCTTGGTCTCCATTGCCTTTACCCTGTTCCAGGTCTTATCATTTCTGGACTGGACTAATGCAACAGTGTCTTAATTCCTGCCTCTTCTCTCCAGTTTACCCTCTACACCCATGGCCTGAGTAACCTTTCAAATGTTACCACAAGCCTTGTTTAAAAAAAAAAAAAAAAAAAAGCACACATGCAACAACAACTCTCTATGCTTCCTCATTACCAGCATGGAGGCTGCAGGCCAGAATGAAAAAGTATTCTCTCCTGAGCATTAGGAAGTCCCAGTTCTGTACAGGGTGATGACTATGGGAGATAACTAGCACCCCAAGTTCAAATCCTGTTGGATACTTCACTTCCAGTCTTCCAGAGGTCGCATGAGCCAACTGACACTTTTGGTTTACAGTCATTCTTTCCCTGCATTCTTCCCTCATCTCAGATCTACAAGTTGTAGTAAGACACCCCAGCCAGCTCTTTCCTACGTTCCATGGTGTCTCTCTCTATGATGTTTCTCCGCAGACTATGGCACCACTCAAGCTGACAACTCCTCTGCTTGTCTGGTCTGTCCTTCAGACTTCTAATCCTTATACTGTTCTGAACAGCTTGACAGCCCTTCCCACTGATTGTTTTGCTGCCAGCCTCTTCCTTGCACCCTTTAGGATCTTATTCCTTTGTCAACAAACTCTACTAATTTTCAACGTCTTTCACATACTCAAGCTCCTTTTTATCTTTATTAAAACCATACTCTTTTCCAGTCCATTGCCTCCCTGGTAGGCCTTTGCCAGAAGGCTTCTCATTTTCCCTGTCCCCATACACCAAGTGGGAGGTGGAGCAGCACTGCCTCTTCCGATCTTGTAAAAAAATTCCCCTCCTTTGTTTGCTGGTGGCGTCTACCACTTCTGTGCCTCCTCCCAAACCACTCCCTCACTCCCTTTGTGCCACAGGGCCCTAGTTTCTTCATTTCAAAAGAGTTGAGATGGATAATGATTATCTGTGAGATAATGAGAGAACATACAAAGCCATTCTGTTAAAATTGCGGAAAAACATGAGAACAGATGGTATAGCTTTTATGTAGCCCAAGGTCTTCTGATTGCTTTCTCCTTTTCCCTATCCAAAAGGCCATTTAGTAAAAGAAAAAGACCCCAGGTTTGGGGCCAGAAAAACCCATTTTCAATCATATCCCCTTCACTTGTTTTCTGGGTGATCTTAGGTCAATAATCTTGTTTATATGACACACACACCACTTCCTCATTTATAGGAAGAGCAGTAATGAGAGCTGCTTCCCAGTTACAAAAGGCAAATGAGAAAATGAGCTACTGGAAAGAACTTACTAATGTGCAAGGCATGCAGTAAGCACTTGATAAGTGTGAAACACTTTGGTTATTATAATACAAAAATGCTATTTTTAACCACAACTGCATTTTAGGAAGGATAGATCTAAATACACAGAAGGTGCTTTTGTCCTACTTGATGATTATGGATATGTAAGGATGTGTACATTTAGAAGGACAAAATGGAACACCAAGTGGCTCTACATTAAAATGGGAGCCTGGAATCACTTGGGACAAAGAGAGGGAGATGTAATAAAGAAAGGTAGGAAGAAAAGTGAATAAGAAAATCAGTGTACCAGGATTTGATCCCCAGTGCCATATGCCACTCTGGCCTTGCCCCCATTGCGCTGAGCCAGCCACAGAGACCAGGCATGGTGGCACACACCTCTAATACCAGCGCTGGAGAGGCTGAAAACAGGAGGATCACTATGAGTCCGAGCTGCGTAGTGAGACCCTATACCAAATATATAAAAAGAAAAAAGAAAATCAGTGTAAATGTAGGCACTCCACATAGAATCAGAAGAAAACCTCTTATGATAGTTTGGCCAAAGGGGTACTAAAGCACTGGAATGCCTAACTTATGGTATATGCTTTGTCATACACTGAACATGACATATGATAGACTCCAAGAAGGGCTATCACTCAGGACTGCTTTCTGAGAGAGGACTGTGAGGCTACATCAGCAAGAAGTTGAGTAATGATTTGTTCTATCTTAGTTGAAAAAAGATTAGAAGCAGTTGTAACTTTAAGAGTACAACCTCTCAGAAATCTTGTAAACTTTGAACCTACAAGTTTTTAAATGTGACAGTTTAGGTTCAAGTCCATTGCATTAAAATATTAAGGTAACATAAAGAACATATCTGATGTTTGCGTGTTATCATTTATGCAGCTAATAATGATCTCCCTGTCTGCTAGCAGCTGACCACCGTAGGAAAAAAAAACAAGCCAAATCAAATTATATTGGCCTCTCTTTACTTCTTGATCCAAATGTCCAAGAAAAAAGGGA